GAGAGAGAGAGAGAGAGAGAGAGAGAGAGAGAGAGAGAGAGAGAGAGAGAGAGAGAGAGAGAGAGAGAGAGAGAGAGAGAGCATACTTCCATCGATGAGATCAAGGATATCTAACAACTGTGCCGTTGCAAAATGGAAGTATGCACTGTGCGTGTGTGAGTGCGTGTGTAAACGAGCGAAACAGACATGCGGAGAGAGAGAGAGAGAGAGAGAGAGAGAGAGAGAGAGAGAGAGAGAGAGAGAGAGAGAGAGAGAAAGGCACGTGTATATCGTCCCTATCATAAGCGGCGACATCCCGCTAGCAAAGAGGAGTGAGTTGCGCCCCTAAATCTGGACGTGTTTTGGCTGACGCTGCAGAAAAACGGTTCGATCGCCGGTTTCTGCACCCTTTCCATGAGCGCATCCAGATCCGGGCGTTCGGTCCGATCCTCTTTGCTAATGGGTCCTGAGCCCGGGAGGGGGGAGGGGGGTGACCCGGGTGGCGGAACCAAAAACACACACAAAAAAAAAATAGAGGGAAGGCCAAACCACACCGACCTCCCGCATAATAAAATGGTGGCCGGGAACGGCTCATCCTCAAACACTGTCTACATATTCTCTTGGTCGAAAACCTGACTGTGATTGCGCACACAAACGCCCATCGTAATTGATGGGACTGACCGTTTGCTGGCTACTACGCCCCTCGAGATCTTTTTGTCATCGTCTGCGGGGTCGGTTCTCCCAACAACAGATAAGAAGAAGAAGAAGAAGAAGAAGAAGAAATAAGAAGAAATAATAATAATAATAATAATAATAATAATAATAATAATAATAATAAGAAGAAGAAGAAGAAGAAGAATGTACGTAAAAAAAAAAACAACCCTACAACGAACGTACTCACCGCCGTCGATGGAGCAAGGGGGCAAGTTTTTGGACGTGAAGCGATGGCTGCGGGGGGGCCGGTGCTTCCACGCGCAGCGATGGCTGCAGGGGGGCAGCTGCATGAACGCGTGGCGTCAACATCGAACAGCACGACGTCGCTACACGACCCGACGTCGAAGGCCTACGGGGAGTGGGGAGTACGCCTACGGGGACTGACGACTACACCTACGGGGAGTGAGGCCAACGGGGAGTGGGGACTACCGCCTTTGCACTACTTGGGAGCGATTTCAAACGCGGCCGATTGCGGCCGCCGATCTCCCAGATCGACGGCCGCAATCGGCCGCGTTTGGACTTCAAAGTTCGAAAAACCGGGGCCCGTCCGACCCCGCAAATTCAAGTAAGCGCGCAGGGATTTGTCGGCGCATTTACATCATATTGCGGGGTCCGACGGGCCCCGGTTCTTCGTTTCAGTGGTGGCGGCGGCCTGTGGCCAAGGAGGCAGGCGAACGGGGAAAAAAAAAAAAACCGAAATCGACCCCCAGCGAAATGCGCTGGGGCCAACCGGGTGCCTGCCGGGCCGGTCTGACGGCCGGTCCGACCGGCAGGGACCCCGGTCCATCCGGGGACCAGGCCTGCCCGACAGCGCTTTCTCCGGTGTTTTTTCAGTCTTTTGTTTCAGCTTTCCATGCCAATGTAAACTCTGTTTCCAGCAATTGCTGAACAAGGGTCCAGCTCTCATAGGCATGCAAAGCCTTTTTGTTAATGGCTTCTGGGCTTATCTTTATCGATGAATTTTTCTTAGGGTTTGGAAAAATTTTCTTTCATAGGCCCTCCTACTCTTCGGTGGGTCAAAGCCCATTAGCCACAATAGCAAGTCTTGTGGGAGTTCCTTATCTGTGAAGTTCTTCCATATGTTTTTGTTTTTTTCCAAGAGTGCATATACCCTTCTGCACTGGAAGAAACAGTATGCATTGAGCCTCACTGCTCGACACCTTGAGCACACACACACATTGAGAGATCACACGAAATCCACACTGGAGTCCAGAGATGCAAAGTGGACTCCTCAAGCGGAGCTTAGAAATTCCAACAAATTATCACATTATGCGGAGCTTAGAAATTCCAACAAATTATCACATTAAACAGTTTCCGAGATCCAGTCATCAAGCGCTCAACAGCGCAGAATTCAGCAACCCATTACCAGGATCCTCGTCTAAGGTAGGTGACTCTCTTCTCTCCCTGGCTCACTCTCTCTTTCTCTCTGTCTTCTCTCTCTCTCTGTCCCTCCTGGTCTTCTTCATGCATGCTCTCTCTCTCTCTCTCTCTCTCTCTCTCTCTCTCTCTCTCTCTCTCTCTCTCTCTCTCTCTCTCTCTCTNCTCTCTCTCTCTCTCTCTCTCTCTCTCTCTCTCTCTCTCTCTCTCTCTCTCTCTCTCTCTCTCTCTCTCTCTCTCTCTCTCTACTTGAGAGCCCTGACTCTGAATACATCCGCTGCTACTCAGCTCTACCTCCTATCACTAGCTATGCGGCTATGGCCGCCTTTCCTCTCAGTGCAGCGCTGCCCCGCAGGGCTCTCGCGCGCATGCTACTCGCAGATAGCACACAGGCACTTCAGCAGCACTTCCACCCTTCTCACGAATGAGCAATCTCCTTGAAATGTGGCTGGCCAGTCCTTATATTGACTTGGACTGAGCTTCAGCTCGTCCCAGCCTCTGCTTCTTCTGGTTTGACTTGGTATGGTACCACATGCCCACCTGTATGCTTCAGAAGGTCACGGCCTGGTACTTTCCCGAAGTGTCATTGGTGTGCTGCTGCTTGGGCCTGTGAATCAGGACTTTTCACCTGTGGAACATGGCTTTTGACTGTGGGATGTGACTCTTGCCTCTGGGACACGACTTTTGCCTGGGGAAGTGTCCTTTGCCTGTGGGATATGACTTTTCAATATGACTTTCAATATGAGACGTGACTTTTGCTTACAAAACGCAACCTTTGCCTCTGGGACGTGACAGTTCTAAGGTACCCGACTGTGACCTTTCTGAACTGGCCGACTTGGCCTCCCTTGGCCTAAGACCTTGACCCTGAAATTCAAATTTGGGGTCTTCATTGTGGAATGTCTTTCGAGTAAAAGCTGTCATAAACCAGTCCTTTGACACAGGTTGCTGAACAAGGGTCCAGCTCTTATAGGCATGCAAAGCATTCTGGCTGATCTTTTTCGATGTATTTTTCCTAGGGTTTGGGAAAAGTTCTTTCGATGGCCTTCCCACTCTTCGGTGGTCAAAGACCATTAGCTACAATAGTAAGTCTTGTGGGAGTTCCTTATCTGTGAAGTTCTTCCATATGTTTAGTTTTTTCCAAGAGTGCATACACACTTCAGCACTGGAAGAAACAGTAAAAGCTGTCATAAACCTAAACCAGTCCTTTGACTCAATGAGGAGGCTTCTGTTTTGTTTGCTTCTTTGTTTATTTAGCCATTTGTTTACTGGTAGGGCCAGGTATAGAGTGAGCCAATCCTGGCTTCTAAAACGTGGTGGTGTGATTGGGGAGACTGTGTGCCAGGGAATCACTTGTAGTCCTGCGGGATCAAATTTGTGGTGTCCCCACCATCTAGAGTGTGTAGTTGAATCAAGCTCCAGTGAGCGCATTCTCAATCAGTATCCTAACCTCGAGGTGGAGGTTGAATCTAATCCTTAGAACCCTATGCCTCTTTCGGATATCGCATTTCTGTTCCCCTTGATTGCTCTACCTCCCCACCCCACCCCACTGTTGTAGACAGCTTCCATGCCCATTCCGCCGGGTCGAATTCAAGGTTCTGTATATATATGTGTGGAGGGTTCACAGATGTTGTATTCCTCATTTTCCACGACCCTGATCTTTCTGAGAACATGTGTCTGCAAATCTTGTTTTCAAAACTTTTCATTGATGACTAGGTTTGTTGCTGGTCCTGGGATTGTTGCTCCTCTCCACAAATCTACTCTGAGCCTCTTGTATGAGCATCAAATCTGAGTTTGTCAGCCAATCATTGAATGGACAAGGATCATAGCAGACACTCGTTTCTCCATTCAGGATCTACATTTGACCTAGTTTGGAAATGAAGACCCTTGGAGTTATCCTCATCACAGAATAGGTGACTAGGTAGCAGAAATAATGATTATATGATTTATATCTGTCTACTGTGACTGCTGAACATGCTATATACAAGAAGTGATGAACTGTGGTAAGCTATTGGGGGAGAGTTAGCGAACTGGCTTTGCTCCCACTATCTTTGGAGCTAATGCTTCATTTCCTCTGCTAATATCGGGGATCCTCTGTTGACCTCCCTCAACCTATCATGTTGCATTTTGTTCTTGGACAGGCTATACGCTGGAGGGGAATCTCCTAGGTGAACCGATTGAGAGGCTTATCGAAAGATTGGAGAAGGACCAAATCCGGCGTGCTGAGGAGGTAGGTGCAGGTGTCACTTGCTCTTCCATGAGACATCTCACGGTGCGCCTCCTTGTGATTGCTTGGGTCTTTTTTCACCGTTTTTTAGCCTGTCATATCGGCCATCCTACGGCAATCACCCGCACAAATCACTGTCTGAGATTCCTGCAGTTTTTGAGAAATGTTGTTCGTTGGGTCTGTTTTCTGAGAATTCCGTAAGTCTGTTCTGCTGCGGTTTGCTATGTTCTCTAAGTGTGTGTGACCCACCAATCACGTGCATGTTCTGTGCTTGCTGAGTCCAAGTCAAGGTTTGTGTGCTAACTGTGTTGGTCGTGTGTGTGTGGTTGTGCCTCGGACAGGGACAAGGTAGGAGTAGAGTGACGGCCAGGGGAAGGACTGGAGCGGAAGAATATGCTGGGGGGTAGTTGAGCGCCCAGGGACCAGGGAGGATTTTCCAGCCACTCGGGTAGGCCCTGGAGTCCGGTACGCTTCGTAGAAGTCAAGTAGCTGCTTGAAATGGCTCATAAGTGCTCAGGCGCGTACCTGGTTAGAAGGCAGGTTAGGTACAGACCCTGAGGCCGAGTTGCAGGCTGAAATGATGCTCCCTCCAATAGCAGAAACACCCGGTAGCCATAGTGCACCAAGTGAGGCTGTGTAGTGGTGGGAAGTGCCCGGCCAGGAGGTACTGGATCCCGGGAAGCCAGAGTATGCGGGTGTAATGAGTAGAGTAGCTCTCTTCGGTTTATTCTTCAAGTGGGCATTATTCTGCTCCATATGAGTGATTTTTGACTCTCTTTTATATTTAGAGAGGAAGATAGTGGATTGATATTAAATTTTTGTATTAAGAAAGTATAAAAAGAAAGTCGATGATAAATTTTTATTGAAAAGAAAAAATTAGAGTCTCAGTCTCAGTCTCTTACATTTCACTAATGGAAATCATAAGATTCACTAGTATTAGTTTTAGATTATGGAAGAGACGGTGAAACTAGAGAGTGATGGTGAAGATCTCCACGGCTATGGAGTAGGAGGAGGAGGAGCTAAGGGTCGACCTAGGCTATGGAGGTGAGGGAGATGGACCTCTAGCCTGGCTATGGAGGGGTAATAGTTGTAGAAGGAGGGGGAAGGAAGTGGGAACAGGGAAGGAAACTCACCTTTGGCTATGGTGGACTTGCATCTTCCTCTCCAAGGTTGGCACTGCATCTAGAAGGGCCCTGAAGAAGGTTGCGTTGTCCTTTGAACATCCGAGCTATAGCTGGATGGCACACGTACAAGGAGATAGAGGGGTATATGGAATGACTTGCCGGTTTCGACTGCCGAGACTGACGGCGAGGCTGTACAGTACAGCGGTAGGTTAGATTCGTAACTTTGTTTGTGTCAGGGACTAACTGCCAGACCAGTCCGGAGAGAGGGAATTCGTGAGGGACATATATGCAATTTACATTGCAGGCCCGAGTTCCCCTTAGCCGTTACTGCCCTTAGCAGGCCCGGGCTATCACTAGGACAGCAGGCCCATCTGGGCCTTGGGCTGTAGTGACGGTTTAGACGCCGTATAGCCGGGTAGGGCCCAGGCCGAACAGGCCAAACTAATGCGGTACCGGTCCAGTAGGTCTAGTAGGCGAGTCTATTAATAGGACTGAGCCTGTAGTTTGGGGACTTTTTGGCTTTTCATTTTTGCGATGCAGCGTTGTGAGCCAAGCAAGTTTGTGAACGGCGATTGTCTACAGGAGGCATCCTGAGACCCTCACCGTAGACGGCAGCCATAGCCAGCCTACCAGGGTTTGCCATAGCTGGGGCACCCTCTGCGCATCTACCCCTGAGGGTATCTGCGATTGGCTGGGCGGTGCACAGGCTCTTCACTGAGCATATGTGGGTCGACCACTGTCGCCCTTCGCTCCTCAGAGACTGCCATGGCTTGATAGTGGTGCGGCAGCCATAGCTGCCATCTTCTTCGTCAGAGTTACTCATCGGCACTGAAGACTTCATCGCGATTCATGTTCTTCATCTGGATGGTTGGCGCTGGCCTCTTGGAGGCAGATTCTGTGTTGCGCTGCTAACTGGGTGTAGGATAGAGAGTGGTGTGTGGAGTTCTGAGAGTGGGGAGATACTGGGATAAACTCTGTAACGATAATTGGAACAATTGGTTTGAGTTGGCTCATCATCAGTGTAAATCCTATTGTTATCCTAGCATGTGTCTTCCTGTGATTGGTTGTTGGGAGTTTGTCAGGGAGTGAGAAACACCGTGTGTCTTCTCCCATCTGTGCATGGTTGAATTCCGCTGCTTATCTTGGTCTGTGTACAGTTTGGACTCTGTCTCCTCTCCCCTATGTCTTGTACATGTATGGGCGTGTGTGAGATACTCTGTGTGTGAGTGGCGAGAAAATCGTCAGACAACCAAGTTCATAACATATAGGTGGTCAAAGGAAGGCTGTTTATGTCCTGGCAGTGGGGGGAGTGATCGGACGTTTGATTCTGGCTCCATTCATTGCTGTTTATTATTATTGATAATAAGATGATGGTAGAGATGAGGAGGGGGAGATGAGGGAGAGACGACATGGGATCCAACTTGTATTTTTCTCGTTATATTCCTCATTCTTCTTCTTCTTCTTCTTCTTCTTCTTCTTCTTCTTCTTCTTCTTCTTCTTCTTCTTCTTCTTCTTTTCTAAAAAGGTCCATGTCGTGGTAGAGGGTGGATGCTAGGCCTCGGGAGGTGTCTGTCGTCGTACTCAACCAGTGAGGCTTGTGACAACCCCAAGGACAGTCTTCCTCCAGGGGGTGTCATTCGAGAGCTGTTATATCCTAATCTTATTGCAAGTCGAGCCCTACAGCGGTGCGACCCAGACCTCTTTATCTAGGCCTAGCCCTACACCAACCCGCACCTTTCGAGGCCTAGACCTACACCAACCCGCACCTTCCGAGGCCTAGACCTACACCAACCCGCACCTTCCAAGGGGTCGTAGACACTTCCCCCCGGGCGCTACTATAGGGACACCCGGAATCTCGAGGACGACCCGAATACAGGAGGGGTCGCTGACATACACAGTCATTTCCCCCTTGTATCACATCGCGCAGACTCTATGGGTGGCGAAGCCACCCTTCTACATCAATGCGACAACCCTCCCCCCCTGCCTAAGATGACACACTACCTAGAAGCCTTCCCCATCACACCCGTGGGCCCCTCAGTGGGAACTCAGACAGACACCAACCCGGATGAAGCCCAGCCCACAAGCATCGTGAGATCAACCTGAAGCCCGCCTGTGGGAATCGTATATGCCTTACACCCAACGACTACCACTACTCAAGGGGGTGTAGAGAGCGGGGTCTACCTGGGACCTAGGATCGTACGATGTGGGTATGGACTCTTGTGGGTGGATCATGGCCGGGAAACAACCATGGTACCCAGACGCACCCAGATACACCCACAGAGCTGCCCATCCGAACGAATCGGCGCACACAGACAGGCCCACAATCCCTACACAGAGTCCTATCTACCCATCCCTCCCATCTATTTATGACCCCACCCCCCATCTATCCCCTCTACCCCACCCATGATGAGTACACGAGACAGACCTAGAGATCTATTCCTCATTCTTCTTCCTTCCTTGTCTTAATTCTTCTTCCAGTGCCTTTCATTCGAGTTGCAATTGAATAGCATTGTCCCGTTCTCAGCTTTTGCTTTTGTAGCTGACCAGGATCACAGCACTACTGGCTTTTGGCTTTCTAGCCAGGTGCACAGGTCATTGGTTTGTTCGCCTACATTGCAGAATATTTCTTTTCATGATCAATTGCGCTTTTGTTTTTTGCGATGGCTTACATGGACCTGCACACCAGAGCCATCCAGACACTGGATACAAGACGATCTGCCCTGGGTTCGGATGTATGTGTAACGAACCCAGTCACATTGAGAAGCTATATCAGCAATGCCATGCAATTACCATACCAGCACTCCAAATGTCGTCTTCCAAAGATGTGTACATGTTCAAACTCAATCCGTTGCACATGATAGAAACAGCAAGGAATCGGAGATATACAAGAGGTAGGTGAGAGAGAGAGAAGAGAGAGTAGAGTTACATTAACATTCAGTTGTAGAAGTATGTCGGCTCTTTCAATCCCACATCTCTATTGGGCATCACCCTTTTAACGCACCACCTCAGCATTGCATGTCGCTCTCTGAAAGTCACTGACGGAGTCTCTGTGCAGTTTCCAGCAATGGCGCCCAACCTTCAACCACAGCCCTTGCTATGGACGTTGGCACTGACCTTCTTCAACCTCTTGGAGGCCAGCAACAGCTTCAATATCTTCAGCACCGAGATAAGTTCAGGTAAGCTTCCCATTCACTCTCCTTCTCACAGTCTCACAGCCCTGATCCTCCTCCGCCTCGCCAGTTGTCCTACTACAGCTATGGTGGCAGCTGCCAGCTACCGCCAGCATCTCCTTCCTGGCTGCCACTCCTTCACTGTCACTGGCGTCAGCTTCTCCTCGCATGAGCCTCATGAGCAGCAACGTGGTCATTTCAAAGCGCAAGGCAGAATGTCCTCCCTCAGGGCCTGGCAGTCTTCTTATAGCGTTGACCGGCGTTACCAGCCTCTCCCTTGACATCATCGATGGCGCTGATTTTTCAATGTCAACGGCCTGGATACATTACTCACCCAAATGTGCCGTCTCCTAGTTGGCACTGGAATCTTCCAAGAACCTGCAGACAGTCCTTGATATGCCTCTGATCTACGGCGGTGGTTGACTTCTGGGAAGACTTTGACTCTAGGGCTGCTTTCCCTCTGTTGGGTCTGACTCTTGAATTTCCAAGAGTCAACTGTCTTGTGTGAGGGTACCGGACACAGCTTTTGACTCGGGGCCTCATACCCCTTGACCCAAGGACCTTTCTAAGACCACTGTTGGACTCCAGATGCGACTTTTGACCCCTGAATCATGACTTTGACCAAAAGTTACGACGGGGCTTTGACTGTGCGGATTTGAACTGGTTCATTGCACATGGACCTGATGGGAACCAGGGGCTGCCCAAAAAA